TCTCTTTCTATATATATATCAAGAAAGAGATAAGAAACACATTAAGTGGAGGGTTGCCCAGTGAAGGCCTAGGTATCATATGCACCACGCTCCCCTGCATGGTAAACAGGTATAACTTCTTTTAATCATAGTATTTAATTCAACTAAGCTTGCATGACAACACTTTGGTAGGTTCTGTAAATATGGTTCTGATTCCAGATTTGACCTTTCATTATAGCAGATAAAGGATGTGATAGTTGGTCCAAGCAGAAGCAAACTAGGTGAACAAAGTGATGCTTGCTCTTCTTTTGGAGTAAAAGGCACATTAGAGCCACTCTAATACATTTTTTCTACCTGTTCTCATCCCCAGAATGAATTAAAAAGACTCACAGCATCTCTTAAAAAGGCAAATTATCAAACGTATACATTTCCAAAGTTTCTAGAGTAAATTTGAGAATATAAGCAAAATATAAACACCAATAAGTAAGCTATATTTACCAATGTGTGCATGCAGACATTATATCCTTTGCAATATTTATTGTGCATTAAAGTTAATCAGAGCAATCTTGTCTCACTTTTGTATTTATATATAAATTAGGTTTGTGCTCCTGAAGTTTGCATTTTCACTGTGAACTCTTTGTCAGGATCAGCAGGTGTGATGAACAATCACTGCAACCTTAGTAAATGTAATCTAATATTTAAAAATCTGTGGATTAGCAAAACGAATGGTTTCCTGTTTGCCTGAGCGGTTCTGTCAGCCGGCATCAACAGAACTCTGAAGCTCCATCTGCCAGGCCCTGATATGGTTTCAGCACAACACTTTGTTTTCAAACACCAAGGGTTTAAATATCCAAGGTGTCCTCAAAAAGGACAGGGACACAACAAGCTACTGCTGACAGGAATTATTTAAGGTCATTCAGTCCCTGCTTTTATTTAGCTCAGAAAAATATGTAGAAAATGTTCACACTCCTGGCAGGTAAAGTAATCTTTCTTATTTGACCAAAAGTAAAATGAATCTAATCCATAAAGAGAGCTGACGATTAGGGTTTTGGTACGGAGGTCTTCCAACCACAGCTTTCAAACCGAAATCAACACAACATAAGAGGAAACAGGTAAAAAACAGCTCAGTGTTTGACAGAACCTTCAGCCCATTTGATCAACGTGAAACCACATTCAGACATCAGCAGATGTCTTAGATGGACGACCTTCAACTTTACTAAGAAGGTGTAAAAATACTGCAGTTAAAATGGAAGCAATGACCATATTAATTCAGTTGGGAAAATAACTGCGAAAATAGAAATTTATACTACAGTGTATTTACTTCTGATAAACCTAAATGATGCCATTATCAGGAAATAAGGAACGCTTATTATTAATGTGCATGCATAGGTTTTAAAGGTAGTTAAAAGTAGCTTGTATTTATCGTAACAAACAACAGATGGCAGCAGCTATCCTGCACACTCAGCAAGCTGTTAGAAACTGGATCCAGCTGGAGGACAGATGGTTAACAAGGCTTGCTGATGTTTCATATCTTCTCTTAGAGGGTGAAGACAGCTCGTCACATCGTGGATCCGAATCCCGGCTTCATGTCTCAGCTGCAGAGATACGAGGAGGAGCTGAAGAGGAGGAGAAGAGCGTCCTGATGCTGAAGTGTCCTCTTGTCTGCTCTGCTTCACACTCATCACTGGCTGTGCTTCAATCTAAGAAACTCAAACTTCACATTAGTTTAAGGTGCTCATATTGATGCAAACAGGAGAATCTTTCTAGAAAAAGTCTAAAAATAAAAGACCAACTTAGTCTGGGTAAGTCCGAGGATAAATACAGGAATTACCATAAACCACAAAGAAAGATACATTAAGCAGCAGCTTAAACAAAATAATAATAACAATAACACAAACACATAAAAAACATTATTTATATTGAATAATGGTCATATGCTGACATGTGAAGAACATGATTAGAAGTAGGTTTTTAAATTGTTTGTAGTTAATCTCTTAAAACACTAGGAAATAAATCAATTAGCAGGTAAAACTGTGTAGAGAACATACAAGTAAAACAAAGTCAGTTTGAAAGGGTTTAATAATTTATTAATTTAATCAGAAAAGACATAAATAAACCAGTCAGAGGATAAAAATCCCCCTCCTCTAAAGAACCAGTTACCTCAAATATATAACAAATTGTTCTTATGGTGCTTGTATTTCATAGAAATATAGTTTTTAGAACCAATGTTTTCTATTTATTTTAGTAATACTGTGTTGTTAAGTATTCTAGTATTTTTTACTGTATTCTAGTATTTTTTAATGTTGAATTATAATTGCATTTATTTTTCTCACTACTCACGAACACAAGGAATAAGAATATAACAGAAAATTAAACAAAATAACCCACTGATTGAATTTTGAGAAGAAAATCATGAATAATGAACAAAATTTCATTCCAAAGTATTTTATGTGGGCTTTATGGTAAACACACAAAAGAAACTTGCTCTTTCTTTAGATATGTGTTAAACTGAAAGTCATATATATATACATATATATACATATATATACATATATATATATATATATATATATATATATATA